AAGGCGCAGCCGGCCGTCCGGAAAGGCGAAACAGATTTCCTTTACTGCCCTTATGCCCCAGCGACGACGAGGACTGTTACGATCGAAGGGATTCGGGCTTGGAAAACTGTATTCGAAACGCGTCGAAAAACGATTTATTCCGAGAGAGGGTGGAAGCGCTTCCTTTCTCGAACCCCCCGCGACGCCACGAACGGCCGTAACAATTGCTCTAAGCTGAAACCGCATCCATTACGCGTCTCCGTGCCAAGATGAAGGTGCTTCTCGCAGATCACTTTTCTTTGTCACATTTCGTTCTTCGTTTTCCCCGTTGCGAGCTTCACGTTGTAACTGTCGACGTCGTGGACTCGTCGTCGCCTCCTTCTTCGCGGTACTTCTGCACCACAGGGCACAGATGCCGGTAATATTACATCCTCCGGTCCCTTTTATGGATATTGCTGTGCCGCTTCTGTACCGTACTTCTACGCTCCGTGTCTGTGTGAATTATTATACACGAGCGATGTATACACGCACCACATATATCCGTATAACGTCGGCTAGACCGGCCCGTCGGCCTTATTATTACCTCGATGTGTAGCCTGTCGTGAATTTTGGGGTATCATGTCTCTCTCCCCCCCCCCTCCTCCCCTCAGTTGCGAAGTTTAAGCTTTGTTTCGGAGTCGTTTATGTCGACCCTCGGTCAAAGAATCAGAAAATTTATATGAGATCAAGGTTGTATATAATACCGTATAATAATAAAATGCCATTCTATAAATCTGTCATTGACACATTTTTATATACTGATTATTTATTTAAAATTATTGAATAATAATATTGTATTGAAGAAGTTAATCTTTCGTTATCACTTTTTCTTTCTTAAATAAAGATATAAAAAGTATATTATATATGTCCAATCAGGGTTGGGTAAGTTAACTTTTTTTTAAACTAAATAAAATGTAACTAAGTTATGTTAAAATTAATTAACTTTTAAACTTAACTTTTAACTTTTTAACCTACCACTACCCACTCTGTGTCCAATAATGTGGTTTCATAAATTATTTTTATATTTTATTTCTGACTCTTTTCAACGTTTATTATAAGTCAAAACGTTTTTTTTTATATATTTTAATGTTGAAAAATTAGTTTTAATCTTTTTTTTTTCTTCTTTTGATTTTGTTGTTAATAGATTAGTTTTATCTCTTGATTTAATTATTGGCTCAGTTTTAACATCCTATTATATTGCTTAGCAATTTTGAGCTAGAAAATTGATAATATTATATAAAAAAAAATTGTTGCGTATATATAATTGTATGAGTTTGAAAAATTTCCCGTGTCAAACTAATAATAGGAATACTTATCGTATCGATATAGAAAATTCATTCCCATTATTAAACTTCCGTTACATAACTATTAAACGCAATAAAGTAGTGTGCTTACTACTTTAACAATTATCAACTTTCTTCCATTCTTTATCACAACGACTTAATATCCGCCAGTAAAACCGCGAACTTATTCGGGCTACTTCACGCGCCTCATAAATATTAATACCTCCCTTAATCCGGATTCTTACGAAGTCCCGCGAAGTCTAGCGCTATCACTCACTTTCGCGCCTCTATTATTAAGGGCTTTTGGTATACGGGATCCGTGGAATTATCTAAATTTCTACAACACAAGGCACGCACTATCGTCGATCTACGTCGAATATTCCGATGTCGCTCCTCTCTCCTTCCCCTTCGCTTACGCTTTCGTCGGATACGCCTCGTCGAATTTCATTATCGAACATCTACTACGGTTAAGTTGGTTCCTCGGGACTTCGCAAATTACGGAAATCAAGGAGGCTCCGGTAAGTCTAGAGGATACTCCCGCTTCCTGATTTCGCGCGCGCTCCTTGTTTCCTCATCGCACGCTCAACTGCTCGACGAAGCAACTAGCTCAAGCTGTATCTCTGATCGTCTAATATGATCGGAAATAGTCGAAATCAATCGGTCGATGACTTGACGGAAGCTCGCGTGGAACTCGCTCGCTTGGTGCGATGCTCGTGCAGGCCATTTCCTCGGTGCGGTATAAAGGAACGGTAAAAGGTTTCCGGCAGGATCAAATGTAAAAAGTCGCAGACGGCCTGGCGGAAATAAACTGTGACGTACCGTCGTCGCGCACCGTTCTTATCCTTTAACATCGTTCCTTTGCGTCCATTACGTGTTATATGTAGGAGGCTGGTAGTAGGAGACCTCGCGCCTCGGTAGTAAAAGGCTAATTGGCAATTTACGAAGGTGGGTGGGGTTATCCAAACATCGTATAAACGCCGTATAAATGCCATATAAACGACGTCCAGTGCGTCAATCGTAGCATCCCGAGTGCATAAGAGACGATCACGTAAAAATACACGCGCGGATAGTACAGACCGTCGGTGAGATCTGAGGTGAAGTAATTTCGTACAGACGAATGTGCACCGGTTCTAGATATAAAGCTAGGTAGGCACTCGAGAAGCATTACTCGAATTAAATTTTCGCGTCCGTCCGGGCACCTTTATGGTGCCCTCTTGCGTCTCGCGAACATGAAAGGAGCGTATTGTCAAACATCATGCTCTTAACAATATTTACCTTCCTTTCAGATATTTTTCAGGTAAACTTTGTAGCTACGAAACGCGCACTTATATACGAGAATTTTGAAATGTTACTTAAATTTTTGTATTATTTAAATTTGCTGCGCATGGAATTTTCATATTGAAATTTTCATATTTAAATATTACATGGAATTTTTATATTGTTCTGCCAGAAAATAATTCCGCACGGTAAAAATGTAATAGCGTTTTCGTTCACTTTCATCCAAGAGACTTTCCCATCTTATAGAGTGTGGGCGTTTCCTGATCAAAAATCCGCATGAATTCGCTATCGCAACTTTTTACGAGCATTCTTATAGATCGCTACGAATTCCGGTGCAACGGCGCGAAGAAATCCTTAGTCTGCATTTTCAATCCACCCTCGCACGTGGGACATACAGTCTCAAATATTCCTACGCGAAAAACGACGTGAAAGCGTACGATACGAGTGACATATTTGTGACTGCCTCTTTCTTTCCTTTGTTTCATATTTTATGGTTTGAGTCGTTTGAGACATCTTCCCAGTGCAACGAAAGAATTTTCGTGCGCATAAATATCGATTCCAATATTTACTATTTATTTTAGTTTTATACACAATCATTATTACATGTTTCTATACATTTAAAATATCTTGACAAATCCAATTGACAAATTACAAATAAAAAAGATAAACCATTCCATATTTTCTATATAAAAATACGGAAAGAACGATTTTGTTAAAATATATTTTAAAATTTAGCTAGATATATAGATACATAGATTTAAAAATAATTTTGTTGATATCAAAATTATTATTTAGGACATTGAAACATGATGTGTAATACTACAAAAAGTTTTGACATTTTGACAACCAGCTTGAGCTGGTTGTAAAAATATCTTACATAACTTTTGCTCAACAAAATTATTTTCAGATCTATTTCTAGTTAAATTTTTAGATACTTCAGTAAAACCATTTTCTTTCTATGGGTATAAGAGACAATCCACGACACTCGCTTATGATTTCCTTATTTATATTCAAATATAATTTTATTATTTTGCAACGGCGATTGCGACATTAATTTTCATGTTCAAATAACTAACAGCTTCCTTCGGATCTCCTTAGAACTCTTTATCCGTGTAACTATCCTCTTAACCGTCTTTCCCCGTCCGCTGTTTTACGACCAGACTGTTTTATTCGCACGACGAAGCAACAATACGAAGATTGCTTTGTTTGATTCGACCACCTGATCCACAGACCCGTATCTCACCCACCTTGTAATTGCCCTTTTACGTTGATCACTATTTACAGTTATGTCTCGCACTACGTTGATTATTTTTACATAGGCTCGCCTATCCACCGTCTCCAACGTGTATACAGAACGTGTGATAAAGCACGATAGCGAAACGTAGGTATCTCTTGCGACATATCCTCCAACGTTTTATCGACGTCGTAATTCAGGACGAGGCATCCCGTGGATACCTCGAGTCCCACTTCGACCGATTTACAGCTCCAGCTAGTGCACACCTGCATCTCGATTCTAGTGTCGTCCTATCTTTTGCGGATATTATTTTTCCGCAAAATAATGGAATCAAATAAACGAAGAACGTGTTAGGAAGTTTACGTGAACTCGGGACAATACGCGCATGATACAAAATCTATTACATGATATAAATCATCTATTTGAAGTGTTAGGAAGCTTGGCTTTTGTCATTTCTTTATGATTGAAATATTATAGATAACTAATCTCATGTCTTATCGCTAATATAAGAAGACAAAATAGAGATGGATGCATATACAGGGTGTTTGTGAATTAGTGGTACAATCAGGAAGGGATGATTCTATATGAAAAAGTAAGTTGAAAAAGTAAAATAAAATTTGTTCATATGTAAGGCTTTGTTCTAGAAAAAAATCGATTTCAAATATTTGTTGTCGGGTACCCATTTAAGTGATAAATTAAAATACCAGAACATATTCATAAAAATTTACTTTTGAAAAGCTTGCCTACAGCAAGATTTATTAAATCAAGACATAGTTAAGTGTACATGTACCCGGCGAATATTTAAAATAGATTTTTTTGAAAATAAAGTTTCATATAAAACCAATTTATTCTACGTTTTTAACCTTTTTTCATGTAGAATCATGCTCTTCCCTGTTGAACTAGCAGTTCAACATTCTATATAATGAAACATATTTATATATTACAATGTTATAAGTAAAACATAATGAAATATTGAAAATTGGATCGCATTAACTTGAAGAATTTCCGATACGCAACAACAATGCGAAAATAAAATTGCGCTCGCGACAGATGCGAGGTATTGTTATTACGTAAGGGAATTCCTTGTGAAACTTGCACCGTATCTTCTCCGCGATGTATTATATTATGTGAAATACCGAAAACGCCAGATAAACGTTATGTAACACCGGCGGTCCTTTTATTCCCAGACTCGGAACAATCGCCGGCCGTGTACCTCAGAGACGATCCGTTGTTTGGTACCCTTCAATTGCAGCAGCACAGCGAGCTCCGCGCGCCGACGGCGGAACGCGCGGCATTCTACCTCGACGCAGCGGTTGCCGGCCGTCAACGAGAGGACGGCGACGCACATATGCTCTATACGTTACACGTCTACCAGTACAGCGTTGCCGGCAAGGGTGGAGGTAAATAATTCTATCTCGAAATCGCTATTCCACTTTCCGTCCGAAGGCAGAAACGTATACCGTGGAAAAGAGATTACTCTGTATTACTCTGCAGCATCTCAAACGCTGATTACATGCATTTCCCTTCGCTATTTCGGAGTTCAAGTATACATGATATTCGCGTCGTTATTTTCTCGCGTTCCTCTCGCTTTATACGATGATACATTCAAAATAAACGCTGTTTCTCGACTGTGCAGTTGCCGGTGGCAGAAGCCGGTTGCACTTGATGGATCTGGGAAACTCGGATCGCGGGAAATCCTCGGGCGGAATTCCTCTCTCCGGTCTGGGTAACATTCTGCTTGCGATTTTCAATGGCCAGAAGCACTTACCCTACAAGGAACACAAGCTAACCCAATTGCTGAAAGAGTGCCTCGGCTCTCTGACTTGTCATGCGGCTATGATAGCTCACGTGTCACCCAACGCCCAGCACTACACCGAGACATTAACCACTGTTCAACTGGCATCGAGGATCCATCGGATGCGACGCCGGAAGATCAAGTTCGTCGGCAGTAACACGCAGGGAACCGGAAGCGGCGGCAGTTCCGGCGAAGAAGCAGCTCGGCAGAACAGCGAATGCGATCCGAGTTCAAGCGATTTGTCGGCCGACACCGTGATCTATGTTGGGCCGAGCGCTGACGACGCCACTGACGGCGAACATCCACCTGTTTATATACCCAGCTTGAATTCAGGTGATAATCGTTGCGCAATGGGCAGAGTACTTCGAGGTTCCGCCGCCGAAAGACCGAGCAAAATTCCTGAGGAGCGCAGTCCAGCACATAAGCCCTCGAAAGTGGTGAAGACTTTAACGCAGACCGCATCGAAGCAGACCTCACCAGCGCACAGCATAACGCCGAAGGCAAGTCCGGCCAGGAAAAATTCTTCGTCGAAAAATGCTTCGGCATCAAAGGCTAACGATTCACCTAGTAAGGTACCAATAGTAGCGCCTAGTGGTGGATCCGATGAACAGTGGATAGATGGACCGAGGATCTCGAAATCGAAAGTCGCGGAGGCGAGACATATGCTGAAGGAGTCTCATCACAAACGAGAAACATGGATCGACGGACCAATGCAACTGACTGGCGCGCCGGCGTTGCAACTGCACACGCATCAGCACTCCTCCGGTTATGGTTTCATGGACAGTCACAAGAAGAGCATGATCAGAAAATGGGTAGAAAATCAATCGTCCCAAATACAGCGTGCAAAGCACACCACGCCACGACTTGAGTCCTCAAAGATGTCTTCCGGTCAGTTATCCGGTCAGTTCAAGGAGCTGACCCAATTCAAAACCTGTGGCGGTGCGGACGACGACGACACATCGTTGTCCACCGCGGAGAGTGATAGTTTGAAAGCGAACGAGATCGAGGACATAACTGAGAAGCTGAGTGCCAAGCTGAATCTACTTAATGTCAAGTCTAACACAGATTCAGGATTAGATCTGACGGCAAGTCCAGTGATGGATGATAGCATCGAGAAAGGGAAACTTGATCTACCGGATGACGAAGATGATGATGAAGAAATTGTCGTACCTCCTCCATTGCCACTGATTGAACCACTTAGCAACGGAGTCAGCCGAGAGGTATCCATGGAAAGTCTAAATCTGTCGCACAAGGACATTGTTCTACCCTCCAGACACTCGTTATCATCTGAGGACGAAATTTTAGAGATTGTCGAGGTGGAGGACTTGGAGCCAGTACCTATGCAAGACTCGTGTTTACAAGTGACCGAGGAGGACATTGCGCTCTGCATGGGTGAGAATCCGTTGCCCGAAAGCGACCAGGAAGAACATCCTTTAAGGATTCTTAGCCAAGAGAATCTCACCGTGGTATCAACTTTCACAGGTGAGTAAACTTTATTCAATAATCATTATGTTATCAGAAAGAATTCTTCTCACATTTGAGAATTGGATGTCCGACAATTTCTCAAAGTTATCTAATGTGTCAATTTTAGTGGAAAAAAAATGTTATTACATGATATTTAAAAGAATTTTTGAATCTGACTTCTTGTAGATATAAAAAAATGTTTACATTAATAGAAGCTACGCACGAATGTCATACAGATCTCTAAACTAAATTTACACAAAATTAAACGAAATTGCACTTTCAAAATACGTTTCATTTACTTTCATTATAGAGCTCTATTTTGAAGATGCGACTTTTATTCTATGCTGTAAGATTTTTATTTATAAGAAACAGAACACCGCTGCGCTCATTCAGTGGCAATGCCGCGTAATTGCTTACTAATCGCATTTATAAACAGACATAATAAACAGTTTTTTTTAAAAAAACATCTTATGAACGACAATTTGATTTGATTTTTAAAAGATTTTAATGAGATCTTTAAAAAGTCATTTAAAAAAATTTTTCCTTTCAATTAATAATGCTCAATAAGGTTGTATTTCAAAAGAAAATTATTACATGTAATACTCTTTTTCATTGCAAAAGAGTCAATTTTTAATTTTCAAAGATTAAATAGTTTGATTATAATTATAAGTTATAAAAGTAATTTTGAAAGTCACTAAAATAACTTTTGTAAATGTTTTTCTTTCGCGTACAACTACTTTAACTTTCGTTCCGTTGCCCGAAAGCGACCAGGAAGAACATCCTTTAAGGATTCTTAGCCAAGAGAATCTCACCGTGGTATCAACTTTCACAGGTGAGTAAACATTATTCAATAATCATTATGTTATCAGAAAGAATTCTTCTCACATTTGAGAATTGGATGTCCGACAATTTCTCAAAGTTATCTAATGTGTCAATTTTAGTGGAAAAAAAATGTTATTACATGATATTTAAAAGAATTTTTGAATCTGACTTCTTGTAGATATAAAAAAATGTTTACATTAATAGAAGCTACGCACGAATGTCATACAGATCTCTACACAAAATTAAACGAAATTGCACTTTCAAAATACGTTTCATTTACTTTCATTATAGAGCTCTATTTTGAAGATACGACTTTTATTCTATGCTGTAAGATTTTTATTTATAAGAAACACCGCTGCGCTCATTCAGTGGTAATGCCGCGTAATTGCTTACTAATCGCATTTATAAACAGACATAATAAACATTTTTTTTTAAAAAAACATCTTATGAACCACAATTTGATTTGATTTTTAAGAGATTTTAATGAGATCTTTAAAAAGTCATTAAAAAAAATTTTTCCTTTCAATTAATAATGCTCAATAAGGTTGTATTTCAAAAGAAAATTATTACATGTAATACTCTTTTTCATTGCAAAAGAGTCAATTTTTAATTTTCAAAGATTAAATAGTTTGATTATAATTATAAGTTATAAAAGTAATTTTGAAAGTCACTAAAATAACTTTTGTAAATGTTTTTCTTTCGCGTACAACTACTTTAACTTTCGTCCCCTTACGATTGCTTCCGTGGCGAACACTTGAACAAACTTCTATGAAAACTATTCTCCACATCATCGTGAAATTGACTTTTCGACTAGAAGTACGTAATAGGCCATGCGGTAGGAAACAATAATTCACTTCCCTCGAAAAGAGAAACCCCGATGTAATTACACATCGCTGTGTCCGTTCTTCGAACCAAAGTGGACAGCTGCCTAGTATCGTTTTCTTCCATCGTTCTTATCTGGCAGCTTCTACCGCGGCAAAATATGAACCCACGCGAGCAGAAGGTGTGAGACGGAAAAATTATTTCCAGACTCTATGTCGGTGATGTCGGACACGGAGAGATACAGACCGCATTATCCACCGCCGGTCGGCGTGGGTGTTCTACCCAGACCGTACTTCGACCACGAAGACTTTCTCGAGCAAGAGACCAGGCACAAGTTTGATCAGTTGGCCCGTCTTCACGAGCTCTACCAAAGCAAACTCGCGCTTGCCAACGTTTCCAACTCCGTGACTTACCAGAGGGAAAACTCCTCCACCGTCAACGTGCGAGACGCTCCATGTAAGTTTCACGATTGAGTGTTCGGTCAGTCGCGCGGGGGCAAAAAGAAAGACGAAAAAAGAGCCTTTTTCTGTTAACAATGTTCTGTTATCAAATCATCCTGCGGAGACGTTGCCTGTCTATTCACGCGTTACACGGAAAGAAAGATTTTGCTAAAGTATCTAAAAGTTTATTTAGATACAGATGTGAAAAGAAATTGTTTGGTCCATCTAAATAATTACGTAGCAATCTCAAGTAGATGAGCAATGTTGAAAAAGTTTTAACACTCTAGTAACCAGTTTGCGTGTCCTACATAATTATTTTGATGGTTCAATAAAATTATTTTTAAATCTATATCTAGCTAATAGATATATAGGAAACCCAAGAAGCACAAAAAAAAATACGATAATTGATAGTGCTTTTATTCACTGTAGGTCTCTTAATGATTAATAAAATAGATTTAGAAACCCCAAAATACAATTAAATTTCGATAATTCGAATAAAAGATTAAATTCACGATTTGTCGGCTAGGGACGAAAAATCGATTTTATAAGAGTAATTAATTTTAATCAAGGCACTAAAGCCAGTTATTTGCGGTCTACATGCAGTATAACATTAACGCAGGACAAATTCCAGCAGCGACCGTCTTCCGTCCGCCGTCTCGCTGTCAGTCTTTATCCCTTTCGGATGTCTTATTCAACGACAACGCGAGCAATCACGGCAGCATATACAGCGAACCCGCGTACATAGCAGGAAAGCCCGATCAGGAGAAGATCTGCGATAATTGTCGTCAGAGCATGTCTAGGCCCGCCACAGCCTCTTACTGGTACCCCAGTAGCGTCGCTCATCTCGCCAGTCCCAGAAGGTACTGCGGTAAGCTAGGTGACTGCAATATCTCCAGTTTAAGGCATCCGGACGGTGCGTCGAATCCTAATCTAAAGGAGGAGATCGAAAGGATACCTGGAAACGGAGCGTCCGGCTCGGACCCCGAAGAGGAATACATCGAAGCAAAAAAGCTGTTTACGGCTGCCGAGAGATCCGAGAGAACAGTCACGGGGAAGTCCGATATAGAGGAAGATGTGAAAATTCAAGGTACCAATCCAAGATACTTTATGATATTTTTTAAATGTCTTTACATCTTTTATAGATATTTGCAGTTTAATTGGATACATTGCTTCCTTACTTGAAAAGAGACAGAACTTAAAAAAATGTGATTTTTAAATTGTTATAATACTATGAAAAAGTTAGATCGCTGCACGTTTCCTTAGCATCGAGACTATCGTGTTTCTGGAACATTACCCTATCAATATAAACGTCTTTGTATTTCTGTGATGTTAAATACATTAAACTGCAGTACAATTTATTGTATATACTTTGTATTTCAGGTGGTTCACCCTTGCTATCAATGCCATCTCCGGCGCCGTCTTCCGGACGAATGCAACGCAAGATCCTTAGTCTCGGTTCCTCATTCGGACTGAACAAGGAGGGCTCCGATTCCGGCGCGGACACAACGCCACGAGCGGCCAAGTTGTCACCGGCTACATTATCCAGACACCGTGCCGAGAGCTCCGGTTACGATAGTATCGTTAGAGACAGCGAAACGAGCAGTATCGCCAGCGACTCGTCCCGACAGACTGGCGCGTTACAGGAACATCAAGGTAAATGATAAATACCTTCCGACTGTCCATTTTGAAAAAGAATGTACTATTGACATCATACCTACATGAACGATTTTGCTGAAGCATTAAAAAATTTAATTAGATACATATCTGAAAATAATTTGAGTAATAGGACTATCAAAATTATTATGTAGAATATTCAAGCAAAGAGCAATGCTGAAAAGTTTTGATATTCTAGCAATTAGTTTGAGCGTCCTACATAAATAATTATTTTTGTAAAACGTGCATATTCGAAAATAAATAAATTAATTTTTTTAAAATAAAATTAAGACGAAAATCCGACAAAATTGTCTATGTAAAATAAAACGTAGACAATTTCAAAAAAATCCACTTCCTTATATCTTCCTTATATATAATCTATACATACAAGTGCGATCAATCAATTATTCTAATTATGCGCTTTGTATGAAAACCTTGTCGCTCTATCAATTATCATCTTGTTGTAAATTGATGCAAACTCCTTCGTTTTCTACACTTCAAAAAGTATTGGTGTAGGTTTAACATCATGCGGTGTTTATACAATTCTTACCGTGTTGGTGTTGATATAAATATGTTTGAATGTGGATTTAACATATATAGATGTGGATTTAATGCCATGATTTAAAACTCATGGAGTTAAATCTATACCATGTTTATATCAACACCAACATGTTGAGAATTAAATATCACACAGTGTTAAATTCACACCTATTTTTTGAAGTAAACCTGAATTCTACTAATATACGCAAAGGACGAAAGTATTATCGCGAGCCTTCATTTTCCTAAGAAAGAATAACGCAAACCCTCTAAAACAATCCTGCCGTACGATGATTCTCCTCAGGTGGCGCACTGGGGGTTCTAACTTCGACGTTGTGCGGGTGTTTCAGCGGTGGAACAGCGGGCGGCAGGGTGCGGGCCTCGGCGGTCGCGGGCCCACTGCCGGGCTCAACTGGGGCCGCCCGCGGCGTCGGCGATTCTCGCTTATACAGGCGAGGACGTAGACATCCTGGACAGGCGCGCGCGGGTGCGCTCGAACCCACGTGGAACGACATCCAGGATACACAACCTTCGCCTGCGCCAGCGCCTTCTTAGGCTGGAACTACGCGATGCCAAAAGGCGACTCATGGTACCAGACACCCGTTGGGACTACAATCGTAAGTATTCAGCTTCTCATCATATAGAAGATTTAAACAAAAATTTTCGTATAGTTATTTTAAATTTTATTGCATTGCAATATATACTAATTGTTCCGAAATAATTCGTGCTTTAATAATTTATATCGCAATATTTATATAAATAAACGCGTCGCAATATGTGCATAATTGATTTCATTAACACTAGAAGGACTGAATTCGATGACTTCCTAGAAGGACCGTACACTGAAAAAAAAGTCTAGTTATAGCTACCAAATATTGAGGGAAATAGTTTCAACTAAATGTTGAGGTAATATATTACAAAAATTTTCGTATAGTTATTTTAAATTTTATTGCATTGCAATATATACTAATTGTTCCGAAATAATTCGTGCTTTAATAATTTATATCGCAATATTTATATAAATAAACGCGTCGCAATATGTGCATAATTGATTTCATTAACACTAGAAGGACTGAATTCGATGACTCTCCCTAGAAGGACCGTAGAAGCCAATTTTACTCTAAGCGCATTTTTTTCGTAAATAATAAACAGAAAAAAACGTATAAATAATTATATTTAACGTTTTAATAATAATATCATTAATTTTTATTAAACATTTAAAGTCATAAATTTGTAAACAAAATCGTAAAATACATGAAAATGCAATATTAAATATAAGGGAGTCAAAGCTCCAATGGTTCTTCTAATTAAACAATTAAATAAAAATTCAAGCGTTTTTATATATAATTGAAAATTCTTTTAACCAAAATTAAAACATGAAAAGTGATGAAAAGTTACAAAAGGATATCACATCATATTTGGAAGCAATGTTGAAAGAAGTTACAGCAGTTTGAATTTCATAAAATTGGCTGCTTCGATCTTTCAGTGTTAATTAATTTTTATAATATTTAACTTTTAACTTTTCATGTGTTTGAATAACTTTGATTGATCACATTCGAATAGCGTTTTATACACATTTATGTATAAAATTGTACAAAGTCAAACAAAACTTAGAAACAATAATAAATTAAAATAGAAAGTCAAGAGAAACTTATGACACAAATGTATTTAAATGCAATCACATATATTTCATTGTTTGTTTCAAAAATAGTGTACGTGGAGGACAGTATGGACTGGCGGGATCCGTCATTTTTGGAGGCACTAATGGCTGAGACATGTATTTTACAAAAGAGGGTAGAGGCCTGTAAAAGCCACGTTCTTCTGGTCACTTGCTTCGATTCCTGCCCTCAAGAATCGACATCGGCCGAGATTAAGATCACCTAACGTAGACTCAGATCAGCACGCATGACCGCGTGTTGATCACCAATCCCGCCCACCTACCTACGAATTTAATCGTTGAAACGAGACGAGCGAGGTCGCCGAATAGGATGAAATAAAATTAGCAGATAATGACGTCGATGTCGCTCGACTCCGTCCAATAGTTGTTAATGATATATTGTGGTATCGTCATCGTCATCGTACGTCGTCACTATTGTTAAGTCTAAAACGGTACTAGGAAGATTTTAATAAAGAGGGAGCTAAAGTAAAAGTTTTACCGAAGTATCGCACACGTACACGCACACGCACGTGTCTTATCGAAGTTATATTATGGAGTTATAACGAAAAGTGTATTCGTGTTAGAGATTTCGCGGTTGCTTCAGTTTCAACGATGTTTCTCAGGATGCTGAACAAAGATATTAGATAATTTTCGCGGTTGTTGCAATAGCGGAACGAGTCTAAGTTTCAAACGCGATGTTTACGCCGTTATATGGCATCAATGGTTTAACGTGAGAAGTTGGTGCTTTGTTCTTATGTCTATTATTCATCAGAGTTATTTAAAACTCCCGCTGCCATTTTTTATGCCATTAATAAATTATAAGAAAGAGATATTTCTGATCTAAAGACTGTTGGCCAATCGGCCGAACCACATATTTATCGGGAACAGCGACAAATAGAACGGATAAAGATGCGCATAAACTTCTATTGTCGTGGTAGACTAGAAATATTCATGTCAATCCAAAACAATACGACATGCGTTGATATTCATAATCATATCGATCGATAATAAAAATCGACCACGGATTAAAAGACAGTTGAGTAGAAATCGAGGAAGCCAATCATGAACGATTGTAAATCATATATGGTTATTCGAGCAGTCTCGATTACACATATCGATAATTGAGATTGGCCATGATTTGGACAGTAATCATGATTAAATTTTGTATATTATCGTTAGGGCTATGATTCCGAAAGGAAGAAGAGATTAAATGGCGTTGGTTAATCTGAGTTGCTAATGAAAATCACTCACGATGACGGATATTAAGATATTAGAAGTAGATGCAAATTTGTTCATGGGAAAATCGAGCTTCGGTTTTGAGGTGAAGCCAAATGAAAACAACGCACTGCCAAAAAAGTGCAAAAAAGACCTTTTATACGAAGTAACAAACAATCGATAAACGAAACGCGCCGTACGTAATGTATCTAATGCACGCACGTTAATTCATGGTATTATCGTAGCTTTAATCGTTATCAGCAGTTACCGCACTTCGTAGGGTTCCGTAACTCACTTAAGAAAGATGCAACAGAGAATATGTCAGAGGAAGAGAGAGGCGAGAGAGAGAGAGAGAGAGAGAGAGAGAGAGAGAGAGTGTGACAGAATGAGTGAGAGAAAAAAAGAACGTGCGCACGAAAGATAAGAAGGAAAAGAAATGCGAGAGTCTAAATCGTAAACCGTTTCTAATCGTAAGAGACGTTTGGTTCGAACGAATGCTATTGAAACTTGACGAGAAAAGGCGGAAAGGGAGCAAGGAACGAGCACCCGAAATCTCGATTTCAACATGAGAATGCGAAGAGAGAACGCGGATAGGATATAAGCACAGGCGAGGATGAGACCGGGGAGAATGAAAATAGATGGGATGAAAATAAATCGGTATGGGCGTAATGCGAGAGGCAGAAATAGAGGTATTCTAGTTTTCCGATGCGAGTCGTGGTGGACGACGACCAATATCGATGAAAAACCACCCATTTTTCTCGTTCCGAACTGTTATACCTTGAGGTTCGTTTATGCATGATACATACGTATATGTATATGAATATATAAGCGCACATACATACAGACATACACAAACACACACACACACATACACACACATACACACACAATGGAAACTGTACTAAATGAGCAACACGCGACTAATCGTCACACGTACACGCAGATCCGTATTTGCATTCCATGTTTAGCATTAATGCAGGTATCTGATATTGGATTTTTGTTGATTACTTCTAATATTATAATTTTAAGAGTGAAAATCGCGACCTATATGTTGTTATGGATTGTAAATTTATTAAAGCCGCATTAGTGTTAAATATGAGATATAGATGCGGACCAAAAGCACGAACGTCATTTTTTTTCACGGACAAATGGAATGACGTCACATTACTGAGCGACAAATTCGTATTCTACGGATGGAAAATAACGAGATAAGTGATGCTAATTAAAAAGATTCTGTGTGCTCGTGTGTCACTTGACGACCAAAGACGTGAGTTTGCTGCCAAAATCGTCGTCATTGGCTGCGTTCAGCAGAGAAAGCAGCTTTGCAACTATTGTAAAATTCTTGAATATGATTGGTTTATACATTTAGATCCAATGAGAAACTAAGGGCAAGACCAATCATATTGAAGAATTTTACAACAATTGTAAAGCTGCTTTCTCTGCTGAACGCAGCCATAGCTTTCTGTTGATTCCTTCTGTTGAGAGTAAATGCCCGATATATTGTTGAACGGATTGTTTATCACGAAAGATCATATATAGTTGACGATTTTTCGTGCTAATCAATTATTCGAATTGTCGCGCGATCGACTACGATAATTGTGTATCATTAAAAATGTAATATTTTATTAGTGTCTGTTTTTTAACAAGAATTATATCCAAGAAATGAATCATTTCCATCTTCTCGAATGTCGGAAAACTATCTTTGTCGTTCACCGCGTAAAACATTTAAATTCGTGCATATGATGTTTATTTATCTATCGTCGCGTGTCTGAATTCAGTCTGAATTAAAAGCATTGCCAAGAGCATGTCAATCCATCTACCGTGAATACAGCAGTAATAATAACGAATTATAGTAATAGTAATTATTAATTGTAACTAGCGATCTACTTCCACTTTCCATTGGAAAAACACGCGTCTCTGTATCATAGTACTTGTATTATATTTATATTTTATATGTACAAATTAGTCATATAATTTCTTGTAATAAAGATCAATTTACAACGTGTATCCTGAATCATCTTTTGTCCCATTTATCCCTGCTATAAATACGAAATTTATTACGAAATTAATTTATATGGTATTTATTATACGAAATACTCGTATAATAAATTTCAACGTAGAAATACGATGGCAGTTATTTTTTCTTTTTGATTCACTTGCAAAAAAATATAACAAAAAAATATACGTAACTTCATAATGTAATATGACGGATCTGCCATCTCAATTCATTTTTTTTTTAATGTGACTTACGTCACTACCGCAATAACATCTCACATATCGTCAAATGAATTAGCGCTGGAAAGAGAGTCGACCCTGACGAATTCCTGAGACAATTTATTGGGACGTTCTAGGCCGGGACGCAATTCTCGGCCGGCGTATGCGAATGTAGGTCCACCTCCATTTGTCTGTCGACGTTGATACTTTGTTTCACAATGCACGGCTGCACGCGACTTCGCACAGAAAACGACCACGACGTTCAAGATGAATCGCGTACCGTCTCTTGGAGAAATTACGTGACGGATGAGCGAGCATAATAATGCAATACGGATGAAAGACGAGCAGCTCTATCAAAATTCAATGCGACTTTTAAACATCAATTTGCCTTATAATAGACGGTGGGCAACAAGCCAATCGATTATTGTAATAGTAATTGCATTTTTTAAATAATAATAAAATTAGGACGATATATAGTGAGCAAATAATTCTACCATTCACAATTACGTTTCCACAAACTTACATTGTAATTAATTACATTTAAAAAATCGAATTACAATTAAAATACCTAAACAATAATATATCTTATAAATAAAAAAAGGTTAAAGATTTATGACATTGTTCGATGTGAAAAGACAATATATTTGAAATGCAACGGAATGCTTGAAAATCACTGCGTCAATATAATGTTAGCCAATTTAGTCGCGGGATAAGTAACCTTCCATCCCATTTATGCTTATCATAGATAAAATACTATTATGGTCACAATTAAAGACTTAAAATCGGTGCGCTGATTACAATATATGAATCGCGTAATCGCGAGACCTCGGCATTTGAATGGATCGTTCAAAGATACAATTGAATCAACAATGGTTTCACATGCAAAGAGAATACGTGACTTAAGCGCGCCGCTACGATACGCGAATGATACGCAGCTCACACGCATACGCGCAATTTGATCGCGCACACGCATCGCGTGATTTACGAATCTATTACTAAAATCATACTTTTATCGTCTTATTATGAATTATTGCCGACTTGAATGTCGAAAATATTTTTCGGTCATGAGATTTCAAGCTATTTTATGTATAAGGAGAATGTACGTACAAAGATAATAGCGTACTTTGCATACTTTGATGAGTACCTAAAATATATATCAAAAAAATTACATCTTAAATAATATAAAGTTAATAAAATAAACTGATTAGACAAGCTGGCGCTACTTGTTCTCTGTAACCATAAAATCAAATGTTCTCATAAAAATGTACATTAAGAGAAAAAATGCTTACAATTATTATATTGTTCTTTAATCATAATTTATAGTAATTATCAGTGCCAATTTATATTTTTGGTAGAGAATCATAAAAATTTATAATTATTATTAAATACCAACATTACAGCAATAAATAACCAGCAGTTAGCAGTTCTATTTTTATAACTATAATTATGACATTAACTAATAACTATTTTATAATTATAAAAATAGATCTCCTAAATATAATTATTTTATTTTTCAATTATAGTCACAAATACTTGTCTCTCAGCGTGTGTTTAAATAAACCGTGATACATATGATATATCGCACAAACTAATTTTCGTTCTCTTCATGAGATCATCATATGACTGCAGAGACGTTGATCCAACAAAATTAAACTTTTCAAAGAATTATTGTTATTAAAATAAATGAAACCATTAATACAATATTCTTTGTGAAAATACTGGAAAAGAAAATATTTACAAAATCTGTCAATTTATTCCAATATTCTACATGCTTATTCATGGTAGGAACTACACATCACTGCATCAAGTGGTCATCGTACGGTAGGGTACATAGAGAATAAGTGAGAAAAATAAAGAGAGAGAGATGCTAAAGAGTTACATTCGAGATACACTCGATTGCATATTAGCCTATTAGTAATGGAATCGGTAGTAGGGATCGACGTGGTGTCACGAAATTATCATTGAGTGAGGGAAGCGAGTGGCGTTTCATGTACTCGGAACAACGATGAGCAGCCACGCCGGTCGCGGAGCAGCGGCGGGCAAAGGCGATTAGGGGGCAGCAAGAAGAGACGTCGTAGCCAAATCGAACAGCAGTAGCGTTAAGGCAGTCTGAGAGAATGGCTCGCGGCGCAACACGCTGGAGCGTTCTGCTAGGCTCGCTGGCCCTCGTGCTGGCCCTAATCGCGCCCTTTACCGTAGCTTTATCCAAAAGGGATCTGTACCAGCACACAGGTCCAGGTTCCAACGTCCTCGAAACTGATAACAATGGAATGCTGCTATCCGCCGAAGCTATCCTCAATACACCCATCGTTTTTTACGACAAAATCTACAACTCGATATTCGTAAGTATTAATAGTGAATTTATTCTCAGAGTATCGGTTACTCGTATTAAGCATTAAGATACGAATTAGCATTAAGATAGTTAAAACAGTTATTCCAATTGCAAAATTTTTCATTCAATACGGACTTATATATCAAGTCTATATTTAAGTAAATTTTTATCGATGCACAGATCTATGTATATTCTGTTAATGAATGATAATTTTAAAAACGTAATTACAATTTACAGTGAGATAAATATATAATTGATTTTTATTATCTAATCTTAAACCAAAGCGTGCAAAAGTACACATAAATGATTTAAAACATGGCATGTGTTATCACGTACACATCAAATGGAATTGCATATAATGTAGAATAATTTTTATTTCAAAAAATAAATTAAAACACGACTTGAGAAGAAAGTTCTTTCTCATTATTACATCATAATTGTAACATGTAATTATGTAAACACCGTTTTTAATTAAAAAATTATGTTGTAATGTAATCTTTCTATGATTGTATTTTGTCTTATCAAAATAACTTAAAATTTCTTACAATCCAAACAATTAAAAATTTTTAAAAACGGAAACCGAAATGAAAAGAAAATATTTATAAATTGTTATAATTTCGATTAAAACTCAACAATTTCGAGAGACATTCTGCTATTTGTTGTTTTTTTATTATTTACGACTATGAATGCTTTGAAAAGTTATTATTAGACGCGAATCCGCTATTTTTGTATTTATACGCTTGTAAACTGATCGTCGGCGAAAAACACCAGTTCGAAAAAAATCGGCAAATATTCTTGATAACCTATTGCAAATCTGTCCTCGCAATATTTTTACAATTATTGAGATATTTACCACTAAGATGTTGTCAGTAAGATGTAACGTGGTAGTCAATCAAACTTCACGGCACTATCGTATATATAAAGACATTTTATTTTATTCTTACTTTGTATTAGTTTCCCCTCTTTGCCGTAAATATCTAAAAAAAACTACTCCTAAAACATAAAATAGATACAATTAATAAAAATTTGGTACATCATTATACAATTACAATTTTTTTATATTAAACGGAATTAAGTATACATAATTAAGTAAATGTAGAATAATATTCATCTCAAGTAGCTTCATCAAAATATGATTTAAAGAGAAAATGTTAGGTTTTTCTGTAATTATTATATCATAATTATGATAAGTAAACACACTAAAATATAAGTCAAATTTATAATGTCAAATTACATTCAATTTTTTAAAATTATTTCTATAGATCGTTACTGCTTCTACTTAATATATTGTTATCAAAAACAATGGAGTTAAACGACTTAATTCAAGAAAATTTATTAAATTTAATTCAAATTTAGTTTATTATTTGCTAAATTCATACGTCAATGTTTCTATTTCGAAACTAACATAAAAATAGATTTATTTATATTTTGCTACATAGAAGTTAAAAATAACAAAATGTCTGTGTGTATTGTTTTTAACTCAAAGGATTGGATTACCATTGCTTCATTGATATAAAACAGAATACGTTGTTATCCGATTTTTAACCAATATTCTAAAACAATTATTAAAACTATATTTTTTATTAACTGGATTTATATTGAGCTTATATTTAAATAAATTTTGACTGAAGTACAAAAAGTCTACGTTCTTTTTTTTTTGCTAATGAGAGAATACTAGTGAACATTATATCCTTGTAATTACAATAACGTTTTTAAACATTTCAATGTATAACTTTAAATTAAAAAAATATATTGTAACTTAAAACTATACTACAGTTAAAACTAGAAAGTAAAATTTTGTCACTGGATTATATCTAGTTATCTTATCTCTAAGTTTCAATAATAAGAAATTCCCTGATTAGGACAAATTCGAGCCGAGAAAAAATTTACCCAATTCATCAACTTTGTTAATAGGAGCGATAACAGTGACGTGACGCACTCCGCCATAAGTTTGTCTACCCTATCTCTTCGCAGAACGACGAAAAAAGTTATAAAATTGTTCAGACACGTTACAGATTAGGAAACTTAGCGCAGTCACCGCGTGTGACGAACTTCAATTTATGGTCCGGTCTAGAAAAAGTTCCGAGACGGCGAGACGAGCAGCTAGGCGGCGGCGTGCAATTCCTTGGTTAATATCAATTTGTCGCGCGGTAGACAAACGACGAAGCCGTGCGCGCATTCGGTCATTCTCTCAATTCGGCTCGCGGTCTAATCCGGCCGACATCTTCTGGCATGACACGAATTCATTGCGCTCGCGATGACGAACGAACGACTCTCTGGGCGGCACAATCGCGCTTAATTGCGGCGGACGCGCCGCGCTGCTCATCGCGTACAATTTACGAGGGTCCGTTAATTCGTATGAATGAACAAGCTAGAGCGGCGCGAACCGGAAGACGATGCAACGCGCATCCAGAGTCCGAGCCGCGCGATAAGATTCCGGTAGTGTTTACACGCCGAAAGTTCGGTCATAAACGAAAACGTATCTCAAGGAAGTACATGTTGTAGATACACAAGAGCAATCATCGCAATCATCTATCTGTGGTTTTAATTACCTTGAAATATATTACAAAGAAATTCAAAATAAGAGATGTACATATTTATTTCTTTTAAATAATTCATTTAAATAACGTTTTCCATTTAAAAAATTATGACAGGCTTTCTCAACGTGTATTTTTGTATCGAAAGAATATCGCTAAAAAATCGTAAAATATATAAGAAGTATTTTATATAAAGTTTTATGGAGCCAGAAAATAAGCATCATATACAAATTGTATTTATAATTTAGAAATTTTATAATTATACATATTTATTCGTAATTGAATTTTTTATACACTTACACTTCGTAAATATTAGAAGTGAAGTACGTTTTAAACCGTTCACTCATTGGCAAATATACGTCAAGAAACAGCTTTTAAAATCTCTCTCTCTTTTCGAGCAATTCTGTAGCGTGTCCAAAGGTCATTAAAAATTGTTGAAAGACAATTTCGTTTTAATCGATTATCCACGAGAACAATATTTGGATTTTAGTACACTTGACTCATCGTACAAACATCGATAACTAACGATTAGACAAACATAGAAACCGCCGGCGATTAGAAAAATCCGCAGGACACTGCATGATTTCACTTTTCTGCGAATTGTTGTATTACTACAAAGGTGACGGCATGAATGAACGTTAATTATGTCCGACTAGTCGTGTGCAGATTAATGCGAAGGATTCATCTCTCCAAAGTGATTTATTGCGAATCAAGGTGCATGAGCTCATACGTGGAAGTGTTTATGCATTACGCCTCCACAGGGAGCAAACTTGTATTATTAACATTTTCTCAAATGTTTTCCTTCTACTGAAACTGTAGCCTTAATTAATAGCATGGAGTATCTTTAACAAACTCTGATTAATCTATGTACTGAAAGATTATATATGTGTAAATAATATGATCATTTATTATTGAACTCTATTAAAATTGTATGAATATACTGAAAAAAAATTAAATTTTAATAAATAAGATAGCCAAATAAGGCCTAATTTATTTTATTTTTTAAATTAAACCTATTTATTTATTTATGGAGATATTGAAATAAATTAAGTAAGAATGAAATTTTTATTTCACTCATAAAAATAAAATATATCTTCTATATAAAATATTTGTAAATAAACGAAAAATAATTTTTTAACTCAGATATTGGACCTCTTATTATGAATATATAATAAAACCCAAATAAAAAATTAATTAAAAATGATTAAAAAATAAAAATTGAATGGTTTTAAGAGCACTTAATATAATTATAAGTAATTAAAAACCTTTTTAAAATTCTTATTTTGTATATTTTTTTCAGTGTACTAATTGTATATCTGCCATTTGTGACAAGATCATACATAAATAAAATTACTTATTCACACAATTTTATAATGTCCTATATTTTCAAACAAAACTACGTGCGATAGAAAGCATCAAATACCGTTACTGAAATTCACTTTCAAATTGGTGTGACTTTCGCAGCCGCACCGTTACCAAAATGCCGCATTGAAACCATGATCCGCCGTGATCCGTTCCATTCATTGAGGTTCGTCAATAATTCAAGCGTCCGGAATCATCGTAGCGTTATTGATGACGTGCGTATATACGCTTCGCTTAGGGATGCGCGTCGAGTCAAATCACACGCAGAAACTCGGCCGGCCAGTCAGCCGGATGAGCTTAAAGTATAATGACGAATAATTGTGAGAGACTAGGCGGATTAAGAGCTTAGAATGGGAGATTCGATTTTGCAGGTATTGGAATAATACGTACACGGTAATCGTGTATTCTCCTATGCTGGTGCAATACGTGTGTATCAAATGCGTAGTATGGCATTGCACAGCTACAGACTTTATCTTTTGCGTGGCAAAGAACGAGCAGATTATAAAGCTCTTCATGAATTCAAAAAGTTCACGGTTTTTCTATTTTCTTCGTCGTTTTAATATGAAAATAGAAATCGCAAACACAAATAAAAATATGTGTAAAAATAACTTTCAACTAGAATTAAATGTTATATTAAATGTTATTTATATTTTGATAAAAATATATATATTTTAAAGGGATTCGTAGTTTATGTTTACTGTTACCACTGCCTTAAAAAAAATGTTATGATATACCTATAAGAAATGTTATAATAATAATATATTTATAAGTTTATTTATTTAATTTATTTGTCATTAAGGATATATTAGCATACATTAGTTGAGACTTTCCATTCACGACTTTTAATATAAAATTGGATTATTTCATATAAAATAGACAATAAAATATTTATATGAGTATATATATATATAATTAAACTTATAATATTAAATTATACAAAATGTAATATGCAGATATATTTATTTGTATGTCATAATACGATGCCTGATCAATGACCGACAAGATGTAAATAGAAAGTTTAGTCACTGACCGTCATGGTGGTGTATAATAAACAATTATATAATGCATATAATAAGTAAGAAATAAAAATTATGCAGTTAATATCTAGTGT